TTTAATCTTCGTGTTGAGGCTCGTCGGCTGCCCCTGAGGAAGCTGGCTGCTCGCTCCTGTGGGGTCCCCAGCCGGGAACGAGGCTGAGGCGATGGCGGGACTCGGGCCCGGAGGGGTCGCTCGGAGCTGAGGGTTCCGCTGACAGCACACCCCTCGCCGGCCCTCACCCGGTGCCGTTTGTATCTTTCAGAAAGGTTCCACCTTTTTTTTTTTTTTCTTTTTCTTTTTTTTCTTTGGAGTATCAATAGCGGGAACACCACTGAAATTACTAAAATTACTACATTGCCCCCCCCTCCCGTGGGAGAGGGAGAGGAAAGAGAAGTCTTCGCTACTGTACCCACAAAGGCGGTGAGCAGGTGCAAACCACACAGCCGGGTCCGCAGTTACACATTCATCGCTTGTGCTCAGCAAAGATGCAAACTTGGAAGTGGTGTTTACAAAGGACTGCCCCAGGCTCTTTTGCATCTCTAGAAACACTGATGAATGCAGTTATACCCATATAAAAGGTATTTGCGCTTTTTATAGCTTATTCTGGTTCTGAAAATGAAATAAATTTCAGGGAATAAGCTATGTCTACACAGGTGCTTTCTCCAAGACTGATAACCTTGGTTAACGGCTCATCTCCTTTGAAAATACTTTGTTTTAGCAGGACTTGTAAGAGATCTCACGCAGCTTGGCTTTATTGCATCAAGGTAGTAATGCTACCTCAAAAGAGGATCATTTTAACCCAAATCAGGACCCTAATCCTGCCTGCAACGTGGCCCCACAAACTACTCTGCCAGCACAACCGAGGGGAAGCACAGGGACCTTCCAGTCAGCAGAAAAGTGGATGCTGAGGAAACGGAGGCCTGCATGCCCTGCCCCTGGGCTCCAGGGCACCTTGGGGGGAGTTTCTTTCCTTGCTCCACTTTGCATAAATAATTGATTGGGACACAGAGAGACAGAAGGATACCACTTTACAGCTCAGTGGTTCGACCGCTCACCTGGAATGTGAAGAGTTATGTCAAAGCAGGAAAAGAACTGTATTTCTATCAATCTGTGCTTTCAGAAGAGCTGGGTAAAAGCAAACTTCACCACTAACGGTAGATATCATATTTCCTCTGGGAACTGCTATCGTAGGCTTGACAAGAAGCTTACAGATTGTCATTATAAAACTGCTCGTTTGCCCTTTACTGCTCAAATTGTGTGCACTGTAATTGAAGGTAGGTAGTAACAAACTGGGCATCTAATGGGGGTGCTCTTTCTGTTAAGCCCATCCATGATGGAAACAAAAGCTACAGACACCTTTACATATACCCACAGAAAGAAATCTGCTGGCTCAATAAATCAGGGTATTCAGAATAGTAGCTGAACAAAGCGTTTAAGTGTCTAAAGTCATCCAAGTGCTGCTGAGCCAGCCCAGCTTAAGAGACTATTTGCTTGACCTTCGTTCTAACATTCATTCTCCACAGCCATATCGTTGTTTTATACACAACGGCATCTGACAGGGAATCAAAAGCATTTGCTGTATCAAAAGCTAAACTATTATTATTGTTTAAATTAGTTCAGCAACATAATAAAATTACTTGCTTCAGGACTGTCAGTTTTATTTGTTAGCTTTGGCTTTGATTCTGGTAGATGCCACACTGGAGAAGTACCTATAGAATTATGTTACATTCATTGCCTTTTTTTAATGGGACAGTAATCTAGCACTTAGCCAAGCATCAGAATTTTCTGCTAATATATCTCAATCATGCATTTAAACAGTATCTGCTTATCCTGAGAAGGAAGTTTCCCATAGTTTCTATGTTAACATATCCATAGCAAATACTGCCTTTAAAAACTTACACTTAATGTAATTTACGTATGACTGCCACTTTTAAAAGAATAACATATTCTCAGCTTTTTAGTGTCCTTTCCCTTTAGCTTAGGGGCTAGTCCAGTTCTATCTTAAATTTTATTTATCTACAGTGATATCAGAGTTTTGTGGTCATTAACTTTAACTCTTTCATCCCTTATCAGTGCTACCTTTATTTTGCATGTCCTTATATTTCACAAGTCAAACAAGGTTTTGACTCTGCTTAGTCCATTCAAAGATTAGCTTCTCAAATACAATTATTTTAGAAGCCTACTTGCAGCATAACATCAGTATAATACTTGCTGGACTATGGGTAAATGACAAGGAATGCTATATGTTATTAAGAAAATCTGGTTGTGGCACCAAATCTTAATAAATGTAGTTATCATTAGGTACTATTTATATTCCTCACCAGAAATGCTGTGTAAAAAAGGGGCTGAAATGAAAAGCAGATATCATTGATATAAGGGTAAACACATGAATCATTTAATTATCTCAAAACTATACTTGTAGGACCCCTGGAAAACCGATCAGCTCCAGTTACCCTTGAAATGCCTGCCAACAGCCCCCAGACAACCTCAACTCTGTTCTGTAAGCAAGCTGTGCAGTGATTATGGAATTGAACACAAGAAAGGTTAGTAGTTTTGGCCTTCAATTAGATTAAATTGATTTAAAGTAAGCTGGAGTATACTCTCCCCTGCTAATATCAACAAAATAATTGAAGAGCGTTTAAAGAACAGCGGTAGTTTGAGTCAACTGGTCTAGCAGTAAGAATCCTTTCAACACCCAAGGGTCATTTCTAACAATCAAACAGTTGCAGCAAGTTAGACACCAAAGAGAATTTAAATTTTTTGAATACTTTTAATGTCAAAAGGACTTAAAAGTTTCCTGATCTGCTCATTTGACCTTACCAATCATGTGGCAGAGCCGGTGAAACTAATCACCAGCTAATGTCTTCAGATATAATTTATGCACATAATTTCAATTATTCTAGACAAGGTAGAGTATAGAGAATGTGAGGTGTCTGTTTTACACTGCTATTAAGTACATTTGAGTACAAACAGTACTTCATAAATTTAAACCTACATATTTTAACTGATTATTGGAGTACCTGCTAAATTATCTGAAAACTTACTTTGTACTTAAATAGTAAATGCCCTTAAGCACGAGGAGGACACGTTTTCATAGAAAACAAAGCAAGGTAATACCCAAATCAAAAGGAAAAAAAATTTAAAATACTTTGTTTGATATCACTGCTGCTGTATATTTGGTGTCCATACCAAGACTGGGAAAGTGTTGTGAGAGATATTCTACAAACCTTTAGTTAGACCTAGCCTCTGCACAAAGAATTTACAATATAAACACATGTGTTTGCACATGAGGTCAGTTCACCCGGAAACTTCTGTAATTGCAGCTGCCCAGCTGTGCGTACCAGGCTGCAGTACGTGTACGTGTCAAGGCCATCTTCTGTGTGGTTAGCACTGAAACGTCTTGAGTGGTTTGATTGTGTGGGTTGTTGTACAGTCACAAGCAGGGACACCAAAGGGGAAACAAAAGAGAAAAAAGAGTATCTCGCAGTGTCAAAGTATGGGAGAAAATTGAGATGATAAAGCAAGATTTTCATGTTCTAAAAAAGAAGTTAGACTACATGATTAGAATGTGCCTTTCTAAAGCATGTTAGAAAGCAGGAAATTATCCATCCGCACTGATACTTAAAGGGGCATACATTTTCACTTGGCATTACAGAAAATTTCTCCTAACAAACCCCAGACTTTTTAGTTTTTTACATTTTAGATGATTCCTGCCTTGCAGGCCTAGAGAGCTCATAGTTAGCTGCCTTTTACATTCCATGCAGTGAGTCCATGGGTGCAACAATTTACTCACTACTATTTTGAGGGAACATTCACTTCTTATTGGTCTCTTTTTACACAAGAAACTTCCACAAGTCACTTCTTCCGACCAGCTTTTGTTTTTTCCACTGCTTATTGTGGTTTTATTCCCATGCTTATTTCTATGTATACACTTATGCTTAACTTGTCTCATTCTGAATTTTTGTTTTATTTTTTAAAATTAATAAAACGTGCCAAAAATGTTCATCTTTTACAGCATGGAAGAATAAAACCCTCTTTTTGTGCACACAGTAGGTATAATTTAGAAAACTGCTGTTTCAGAGTCCTCGCCTTGTTGAAACTGTGCCTCATAGTCTGAACAATAGACAACTTTTTTACAGTTTAAGCTCCATGCTGGTTCCGTTGGATGCGCTGTGACTAGCAGGCTGCTCTTAAAGGCTAAAGACATCCACAGAAAACATAAGGGCCAGAACTAACTCACTTCATATAGGACTCTGAAAAGCCCTTACAGGTCATGGTTGTTTACTCACCTGAATCACTTTTGTGGATGCAAGACCCTAGAAACAAGTGGTATGGTTCCAGTATCATGAGATGATCCATCCCTGCCACTTTACCTTTAGGTGCTACTGCTCAAGGCATGGTCTCACATAAGTTAATTACAGATCTTACATAAGTGTTCATATACATA